TTTTCGTGGATATCAGATAACTATGCTATTATACATGATTAACAATATCCATCCTAATATGTTTTATTTCAATGTCTTTGTAGAATATGCTGCACTTGATTTTTGCAATGGATTCAAGAGGTGCAAATTTAAATACTTATATAGAGTCTAATGAACCTTTCGCATTCTCACATTAATGTCATGTCATCATACGCCTAGGCGGAAAACTTCAAGATATCAAACATCTTGTCAGTCAAAAAGAAATCAAGAAAGGAAACTGATCTGTAATATACACTGTATAGCTATACATGTAGGTCTGATTTAGTCATTCAACACATCACTCAATGCTTGAAAGAGTACAGTACCGATATTCCGATACATTTACAGTACAACCTGGCTCCGCCCTCACTAACGGCCGTGCCGTAAAACATATTACCAGGTTTTCCAAATGACTTCTAAGGTCAATGGTCAACGATCGCCCGACAAACGTAAACAATTTTGCGCGGAGTAATCCAATGGACCTTAAAACTACGTAAACAAATATTTTTATAACAATCCTATCGTCATCGGCTTTTTCATATGCACATTTACACCTGAAATGGTGTTGTTATTCTCACAATATTTTTCCGTAACTTTTTTGATACATATGTTTATGACGGACTATTTTCTTACGCTGGTCACTTTTGTGTGGCAACTATTTCCGGTTTCGAACGTCATCTGGCGCGAGCAGACGTCCTTTTTTGAGAAAATCCGTTCCCAAGTGCTGGGCAAGGGGGAAATTCGTTCTCAAGTTGTTCTCAAGTTGTTCTGAAGTCGTTCTCAACTTCTACTCATACTGTCAACCAATGATAATGATACCGGTAGGTGGTATACAGTAGTATATAGATGATGTAATCATAATCCCGTCTACAAATGTCAGCCATCCTTTAACTGATATTGTTAAATCCTCTGATAATATCATTCTCCCTTTGCTCATTATAAAATCCCGTCTGCTGATAATATCATGTCGATCGTCACAAGAATTACCACATTTTATGTAAGAGTTACCTCCCATAACACCGGTAGTTTTTCCAACACAGATTTATTTTACCTTGGTTAATAAAACAGCTAGCCATTTAATGATGTAACAGATCAACAATATATTAACGTGTTTTAACGAAATTAAAACGCCTATAAGTTTACTTTGAAATGGTAGTGTGCTTTTTAAATCCCACGAAGCGTTTTACATAAAAGGAAACAAATTCTGTAACGTATCGGACTCGTAACGAGCAGATGGCGTGTTGACATTGGCCGTAATGTAACTAGTATACGAAAAAATAACAAGAGCAATACGCGTAAATCAATAAAAGAAATAGAATATTCAACTGTCAAGTATGGAGCCTGTTCAAATGTATAGCTGTGCCATTGACCGGACGTATATTCGGAAGTACACTGCCAGAAACTACTATAAAATGTCGGGTCATGAAGCAGGGTAATACCACTTTGAATACAATATTATTGAACAAAGACGGATTTCCAAATCAATAAAAACAAGTCATAAGTTGTTGAAAAGAAAAGAAAAATTGTTCTTGTGAATATCCCAGAGCAAATCGGTGTATATGCTGCGATATCCGCGTCATGTAGACGGTGCCCGCTGCATCTAACGCCAGGCCGAATCCCAGCAAATAATAGGATATTGAATAATAAATTGTATTGTTCTATTTATAAGAAAGAAATATTGACTAAAAACTACACCTTATGTATCGTATTGCCATTGAGAGGATGGTAAATTGCTTGTAAAAAATCGATTGGATTTTGTAAGGCGATGGAAAAATTACAGTTTTAGAATTGTTGGATTATAATTGTATGATTAGCGAGAGTGATGGAAGTGGACAACAACTCATACATACCCGACATTACACAGCCGGCATTAGACAGGAGCCGTGACATGCTCAATACATGTAATAAACCATCGTCGGTAATAAGCTTAATGGCATTTCTGTCCCCAGGTATCCGGTATAACGGTTCTGCTGACATTTATAGAGCACTGTGTTACCCACGCTTCTATGAAATGTCCTTCAATTTAAATCTCCTACTCACTATACGTCCCACACAAAAATATCCTACACAAAACGCGTCCGTCTTAACAAGTCCCAAATTTAATGTCCAACAAACACTCTAACACTTATAACATTTATCAATTAACGCATCCATACAAAACGTCCCAACCTTAATGTCTCACACAACACGTCCCACACACAACACGTCCACACTTATTGTCTCACACACAACATATCCCACACTTAATGTTCCACACACAACATGTCCCACATTTAATGTATCACACAACACGCCCCACATTTATGTCCTGCACTCAACAGGTCCCACACTTCATGTCCCGCACACAACAGGTCCCATACCTAATTTTCCACACACAACATGTCCCACATTTAATGTCTCATACAACACATCCCATACTTATGTCCCGAACAAAACACGTCCCACACTTAATGTCCCACACCACACTTAATGTCCCACACACAACACGTCCCACTATTAATGTCCCGAACACAATACGTCCCACAGTTAATGTCATACACAACACGTCCCACACCCAACACGTCCTACACTTAATGTCCCACACACAACACGTCCTACACTTAATGTTTTACACCACACGTCCAACACTTACTGTTCTACACCACACGTCCCACAATTAATGCCCCGCACACAACACGTGCCACTATTAATGTCCCGAACACAATACGTCCCACACTTTAATGTCTCACACAATACGCCCCACAGTTAATGTCATACACAACACGTCCCTCTATTAATGTCCCGGACACAATACGTCCCACAATTAATGCCCCGGACACAACACGTCCCACCTACACCACACGTCCCACACTTTAATGTCTCACACAATACGTCCCACACTTTAATGTCTCACACAATACGCCCCACAGTTAATTTCATACACAACACGTCCCACCTACACCACACGTCCCACAATTAATGTCCCGGACACAATACGTCCCACACTTTAATGTCTCACACAATACGCCCCACAGTTAATGTCATACACAACACATCCCGTACCACACGTCCAACTCTTATTGTTCTACACCACACGTCCTACACTTAATGTTCTACACCACACGTCCCACAATTAATGTCCCGCACACAACACGTCCCACTATTAATGTCCCGAACACAATACGTCCCACACTTTAATGTCTCACACAATACGTCCCACAGTTAATGTCCCGCACACCACGTGTCCCACACAACATGTCCAGCACACAGCATGTCCCGAACTGTGTGTTTTGCAGAAAACACGTCCCACACACAACACGTCCTACGCTGAATGTCTCACACAACACGTCCTACACTGAATGTCTCACACAACACGTCCCACACACAATACGTCCAACGCCTAATGTCCAGTACACCACAGTGAGGTGGGGTAGGGAGTGAAAAGTGGGGTAGGGAGGGGGAGCGGGAGTGGGCATAAGTATAACTTTATCTACACCATAATTGACTTTCCGAATAAAATCAAAACGATACTACAAATACGACCTCAGTGTTGTTCAACATCAGCAACCATTCTTCATTGTCGCGGTTCTATAAGCGCTTCGGACGTTCTTACAATTAATATTAGACTAAACACTCATGGATTTCGCTGCTGATTTAAACGTTCAAAAGTTAAAATACACAGATCAAATTCTGCTAGGAACACTTAGTTTTCGTTTTCAGTCAGTAGTAGTCAAACGGCTTGCCGTCCATTATTGGAACACAGACCCGGCTATATAGTTGAGAGGATGGAGAGATGTCAAATTCACGTGTTGTCCGAGTGATGACGTAAATTGTACCCTCTAAAGTTAAAACCCTCACTTACATGCATTCTGACACGCCCAGTTTTGTTTTTGCTCCAGTATCAGTGCCACGTGTTCGGTCGAATACTACGAAGGGCTGAAGCTGGCACGGACACTCTACAGGGATCAGTTCGGAGTGATCAGAAGAGACAGGCGTAGGCCTGGAACACAGCGATGTCTTTCATCTCTAAAAACTCGTCTGCTGCCCTGGATTCAGCGGTTACGATTTAAAGAGAAATAGGTTACATGAACAACAAACATATATACACAGAGGGAACATATTTAGAGTGAATTCAATACTCCCTATAACAGTAAAGGGGGAATTATATTGTACTATTTATTTGAATGGGGTTATTCAGGTTTCAGTGGTTCAAGGGTCGTGTCACAAATGAACAATGGGACAAATTTACTGTACACTCTACTTTGGCAATGAGGGATGATCATACAGTCAGACGTTTGTTCACATGTACATGCATAACTAAAACGGAGTCGGGCCGTTCCGTATGCTTGGAAGATCCCATTGTTTTGATTAAAGAACATCTTTGATATTTTTTCTTTAATTGAACGCCGGTATTATAAACGTGACAAGTAACCCTGTGTGTGTAGAACGCATTTTCTCAATGAATGATCAGCACAGAGGGGAGGATTATGTTCCGTCATCCGTTCCACTTGATGAACATAGTAACACGACCAAGCGCTGCTATGTCAGTGGAAAAAACAGTTTTTCATTCATACGAATCTGCTCCACTTTCATCCGTATAGGTTGACAGTCGCGTGCCTTAAGGTTATATTGCACTAATGTTTTAGTGTATGAAATCCATAATTTTCCGCTACTCCATAAAGTCAGTGAGCCTGCAAGGTGTCTGTGTGTGGTGAGTGTATACCTGTGTACACATCTGTCGGGGTAGTCCCCCATACTCCCCATTTGGTTGGCTAGCCCGCCCCAATACGTGTGTCGATACGGCTGCTGGAGTACTTGTAACAGAGAGAGCACCGATATATCAGCCACGCATGCGCAAACATGAGTGCATCGCTTTCATATGTGTGTTTAGCAGATGGAGTAATGAAATAGACTCCACGAACTGGGCAATTCGAAGTCTAGATTTGTCGACTTCTCCTAGTTCATATCTTACTCGAAATGTGACAAATATTCTACATTACGTGTGGATTTGACATGATTCTCCAAAATGTCTGATTTAGTGTGGATTATACACGGAGTTCTAACTTTGTTTTTGTGTGGGGTTGGATTAACTATAGACACTGGTAAGTGTTTTAACTGTTTCAGCCGCTGTATCTTTGTGTGTACGTGCGAATGTATATATCTAAAAGTTCTAGGGAGGGGATTGTGGGAGAGGGGGATGTGATACGCCGTATATACAGTCCTTCTTCTTATTGGTATAACTCTCAAAAGTGTTTTGGTATTATTAATGGACCAAAGGTGTGTTTGTGTAGTGTTGACCTCGTTCAGGGGTCAATTATATACATATGGAACGATGTATATATACATTTCATTCGTACACATTCTGGCATATATTTATTTTCCTTTGAATGTTTCATTTAGTACGTTTCTAGCAGGGCATCTGTGACACCAAACGTATGGAAATTGTGTATGCTATTTTATATACCAGCGGAGTGATCACTGAAGCGGAACTAAGAGATGTTGCCTTAAAGCTGGCGCACATTCCAGAGATATATGACATAGTAAAACTTTAAAATAGAGGTTTAAAACCATCTCGTTTAAGTCTGACGCTACAGTGGTATCTGTGTAAAAGGATTTACCTATGAACCCATCGTTTTACAGGTGTACGGCGATTAATATATAGCTTATAATGACACCACTTTTCAACATTGATGGGGAAATTATAACCCTACCGAATCATGCAACACAGTTGATGATATAAACTGAGGCCATGAGCAATAAAAGTGACACTTTGTTGGCAGGTAAAATTGTGGGAAGATTTCGGGGTTTGTTTGCTAGATGACACCTATAATCACACGTGTTTACATCGCGTACATCATCCAAAACACTTCGGCCCTGTGAGTAGATTATAAAGCAAAACATGGTCACAAGACAAAACTCCGTTCTGGAAATGCTACGAAAATGGCGTATTTTTTGTTGTTGTTGTTGAAGGCCAATCGTTAGAGACAAAAAAAAGGTGTAATATAGTGTTCTCAGATTATCCTAAATGCCAGGAGGCCATTCCGTTCATCATGAGTGAAAAACGAGGAAAGATAATGTACGATCATTTTAGACATGGGAGACCTCGTAGTAACGTGGAAAATGAATGTAAAGTGTACAATTAGTAATTAAACATCAACATTAGATTATTCTAATCGATTTCCATAAAAACGTCTTTGGAAGATAGGTTTACCGAGAGCGGAAACTTTGGAGTTGGAAGCTGTTAAACAAGGCGAAATGAGAACGGGTCTTGATTGAGAACAAGGTGTGTTTGACCCTTCCCTACGTTTATTTGGGTGGCCGATGTAACTTGTCCAGAACAAAGTGTGTTGCTTGCCTCCTTAGTAAGTCTGGCCTGTCTTCTGTGAGGTTTTGTAGCATACGCCCTACGTACCTACACCTCCAGGCTCACCTTCATTTACACATATATCGTGCGGGAAAGGTAATTAATTTGTATAAGATAAACGGGATGTGTTCACGGTCAGTTACTGCTAATGGCGCCCCGCAGCTATAACTTAACATGTCCAGCCTCGCTAGGGACGTGCTGTGTCCACGCGTCCTGGCTAATAATCGCTGGCCACCGTTGCGTTTGCTACTTCGATGTCCCCCGACTTAGATGGACCATTGGTGGTCGAAGTATTAGTTTGACCACGACGGGACACAATGGTGGTGTGGTCAGTTTGACATTAGTCCTAATTACAATGTGGTCGTTAAGAAGCTTGCCAGATTGTAGTTACTGGGAGCAACGTAAGAATATTGACTTCCTTACATAGTTAATGAATCGTTATCCCCGAGGCTACAAGCAGGGCTGATGTCCGTCACAACAGTGGACAAACATTTCAATGATTTATTTTCTTTAATGGGTTGTAAATGGTCCTGAATTGATTCTAGGTTGAACGAGCGATGTTTTTGTATTGTTAAACACAAAACTGAGCGCAGGTGCTTTGCACAGTAAATAGGGATCGTCTGATCACTTACGTGCTCATGCCCACATTATTCAATTAATTTTTCGACAACGTATGTCTCATGTTTCTACTTATTCTGTAAATATAATTATAGTTTAGTATGGCATGCGTTGTCGACTGATGAGCAGGAATGCAGTAATTGAATTGACTAAACAAAACGTACAAAACCTACGCTTGTAGGTTTGTATTCTCTGTACATCTTCGCCGACTTGTATTACTTCCAGGCTCCTGCGTCCCCCGGGGCTAAGGACTTATCTCGTGCGGGGATCGCACACAAACACGGCGCTCTTAGGAGCAGATTATACATATCTCCGAAATATATCACGTACAAATGTCCCCGAGGAAGCTGGACTAGTTCTTATACAGGCTACCTCAGACCGACGGCTTGGCAATATATAAACATGAAAAGACTTAAGACTGTACATAACATATATATACAAAAGTGACCGACTTTTAAGATGTGTTTTACATCTCAAACTTTAATTACATAATTATTTGGTAAATATTTCATATCGTAATCTTTCTAAATTATTCTAATATTATAGGTTAAACGAAAATCTCATGAAAATCTCGAAGCCAGGCCAATGCCTATGAAAAGGTGCTTGATACAATTTCGCCACCAATTGCATACATCGGAATCTAATAATAGATATATTGTTTGGTGTACAAATGTACATGATACAAACACATTCATTCAACGTGGCATATTTATGAATATATCCATTACGATAGCTCAGCAGGACACTCGTCTGGAAACAAACAAGGGTACATTTTGATGTATATTAACAGTGACAAACAAAAGACAAACAGAATATCGTGTAACAAACAAGATGGCGTCATCGTTACTCAAGGGTTACTCTCATGATCACCTTCACTTACAGTGAGCGTAACACCTGGAGTCTCGAGGATGACAATATGGGACAAACATAGGAAGCAGGGCTCGGTACTTTTTAAATTGACACCATTATCGCCAGAAATTCTCCATTGAACTTCATACAATGAACTTTTACAGTCAGAACCCATTTGCCCGTATATTGTACTAACTGGGGCGCTGTGGACGATTGCTGCTTGGCTGTGTCTATTCGAGAGTGTCAGTAACCTACTCACAACGAAACACAAGAAAACTAATTGGTGCGAGTGTCATGTTTTGTCGCAAATATCGTCATGAATGAAATTGAGAGTATTTTTGAATGGAAATCGTGTTTTCCTGTGCGTGAGGGGGTGCAGGTCTGTTGCAACCGGCGGAGAACTCTTTATAGTATTAAGAACGCATTTCCTGTCAACTATAGGAACGGAATATGTTGGGTCACATAACTTACCAGGATCAACTCCAGTTTGTTTTTTGGTTTTCCTCAGACTTATACATTGTATTTATTAAAAAAAACCAAAAACGTTTAAATTAATTGAAAAATAGAACTGAAATCAAGAGTCACAAACATATGTTACGAATGTTATAAATGATGTTTGTTTGTATTTGGGGGAACGGTGGTTCGGGGTTTAGCGTCCTCGATACAGCCAGGGTCATAAGGGGCCTAATTATGATAAATATGATTGAACGGTAAGACGTTGGGAACTTTTGACTCGTTGATTAAATACATTATGTGATGGACTTATAATTAGCAGCGTATAAACTAATTGAGATTAATCTGAACATAAAAATATCTGTATCATTCGAAAAAAAGTAACTAATTATTTTTTTTACATTAAAAATAGATCAAGCATACAAGAAAAGGTTAGAAAAATAAGGTAAAATTGTTTTTTATTATGTAAATGTTTGTCATTTGGGTACGCAGGGATGGTTTTGTTACCCCTTTTTTTCTAAGACATGGACAATAAAGGATCATTCAAGGGTGTGATCAAGAGCTAATCAAGGGCATGACAAAACTAGAGGAATATATAACCAAAGAAAACGACTTAAATTGACGGGCCAGTCGCAAATGCTCTTAGATACATTACCGCGGGCCAACAAACAGTCGGGGTTGGTGTTGAGGGGAAGAATGGTTTCAGAACCCTTTCTTAATTAATGAACCGCTCTCTTTTTTATGTTGGTTGTAAGTGACAATTTTATTCACCGTCAAAAATCTAATTAAAGCAGTTCGGACATTCTTGTTTGCGGGAATGTGCTCGCGCAACACGCGTGCAGGTGATAATTATGTAAGAGGCGTCATTGACTTTCCCGACAAATATAGAACTCGACTGAGCCTTTTCCTAATTGATCAAATGATAAATGAAATTTTCTGGAAACTAAATGTGACTCTTTTCGCAGATATTTCTCTTGGATATTTTAGATTTAATTGATAATTATGGGACTGTTCCGTCTCTCAAGGCTGGTTTCAGATGAATACAGACGGACCTAACGAATTAATTTTCCTTCTCGAGGAAAAAATGTTGTAACATGTCAGTTAGCCCGTTATTTGACCCGATCTGTATTAGCTATCTGTCCTGTCAAAGACGTGACGTTTCCATGACAACAACTCCAACTGATTGTCTCAAATTTTATTTGTGTAGTTTCTTTGTATTCAAATATCTTTAGTTTTGAGCGGCCATATTGACAATACACAATGTTTTGATTATATTTTCTCGAACTTAATGCAGTCAGTTTTTTTGTTTTACGCCATGCTATGTGTACTATAAGTACATTGCTTCTGTGTATCGAGTCTTTCCGCTTTCCCCCGAATCCCTAAGGATCAAGACTCTTCCTTTGTGCTGGCCATTACTATGACGAATGTCTGAATTGGTCACGGTATGAGAGTGCTCTTCACGGAATGGAGCCTATCTACACTCTACCTTTTAGAGCAGAGATGTACAGGTAATATAACCATATCTCATTTCCTGATTTAAACGCTTATCAGATCTGGATTTTTGGGTTATTTTTTCATGTCAAGTAGCTGTGTAATGCTCTGTGAATACGGTGGTTGGGCTAGTCTACAGACAACAAGCGCTTTTAAGATCGAGAAGATAGGACCCAACAGCTGTTTTAGGCCCGATCTGTCAGTGAGGGATTTAAAACATGGTGCAAGTCNCCCCCAAAAACCCCCCCCCCCCCCCCCCCTTCACCCAAATGTCATTCAAATCACAGGGACTTGATTACGCTCATGTAAACATTTATATACTGTGAC